GAGGTGAATCCAGGGGTGAAATCCGGCAGGTTCTGACAGGTTCTGGAGAACCCGTAGCAGAAATTTTAAGTAGTTCAGAGAATCGGCAAATATCACCACTGGCTGGCCCCAGAGTGGGGTGGGAATGGGGATTTTGCAGTATCCTTCCCCTGGAGTGGGATGGGAATGGGGATTTTGCAGTATCTTTCCCCTGCCACGCCCACCAAGGCATGCCCACCAAGCCATGCCCACAGAACCAGTAGTAAAAAAATTTGGATTTCACCACTGGGTGAATCTAAACATTGGTTAAACATGATCTTTGGCCCAGTTGCCTTGCTCTGCAAATTCAGCAGTGTTGTATAACTGAGGACACCCCAAGCATATCAGTTATGTCCAGTCACCCTTGTAGATACAGAAAAACAGCAAGAGGTTTATTGGGTAATTGGATTGCTAGATCAGACAGTCTTCAGACTTATTGCAGAAGGACATGTTTATCCCATACCTTTGTAAAACTAGTCTGATCTAAATAAACAGCCCTTAGCCTGATCTGAGGACACTGCTTTAATTAAAGCAGGCAAGACAATAGTCAAAGTTAGTACTTTTAGCCCTTATTTCTTCTAGGAAACCTAGATGAATGAACCCTTTATCCCATTTGATCCTCAGTGAAAATCAAGTGAGGTGGCTTAAACAGTCCACGATCGTCCAGTGATCTGAATCTCTGGGGTTTTTTTCTTCTTCTTTCCAATAATCCTCCCACTCACTCTGAGGGAATAGAGAATCCTGCCACAGATTGCGTAGAGTCAGGGTATCTGATACCCCATGTATTTTAAGGTAAATCTAAATTATCACATTCTGATTACTTCATAAGGTAAAGGCACAGTCGAGGTTTGTTAACTGCATCCATGCAGTTTTCTTGGCAACAGTACAGAAGTGCTTTACCATTGCCTTCTTTCAGGATGTTTAACTAATACATAATTAGGATCCGCTTGGTGCCAGTTGCATATTAATTCTCTCTCTAATCTATATTACAAGTCCCATCAGGCATATTAAAAGCGGGATTTGCTACATTGGATGTGGCGATGACCAATCGGCCGATTAGTTGGGTGGCACATTTTCAACAAAGCTGCTTATACCTTAAGCTTTATTAAATGACTACATCAAGCTGACAAGAAGTTGATTATCATGAAACCTGGACTGCTGCTTCTTCCCCTCCACCCCCACATAGTTACTGTGGCAATCATTATTCATCAAAGGTAAATGAGGTTACCAGGAAAAACGCTCAGGTTTTCAAGGAACTTGCATCAAATCATGGGCCAGATCAGCCTTTCTAGCCAATTCTTTCGTCTCCATAGAGACTGAAATTGGATTCTAGTTTGAAAATTAGAAGCTGCCTGTTTGTAAGTTTTAGAAGCAGATCTGCAAACAGAAAAATGGAAGTGAAGCGTTCCCTAAAATGTAAACTTTTCTCCAGTTCCAAATCGTTGCTATACTAAATATAGTATAGCCTTGATAGTACAGTGGTCCAATGCACCCTGTTATTAACCAGCTGCCTGCAATTACTGCAGGTTCGAATCTCACCAAGGCTCAAGGTTGACTCAGCCTTCCATCCTTTCTACGGTAGGTAAATTGAGGACCCAGTTTGTGGGGGCAATAAGCTGACTTTGTATAAAATATACAAAAGTATGAAGGCTATTGCTTAGCGCATTGTAAGCTGCCCTGAGTCTCCGGAGAAGGGCGGCATATAAATCAAATTAAAAAAAAAAATAGCTGAAATTCCTTTTTCTAGATATAAATGTTTAGGTAGTCAAGAGGTGCTATTTGTACATAAGAGGAAGGCATCAGTAAGCTTGAGAGAACCCCAAGATTGACAAAAGGTAAAAGAAAAAGTAACAGTAGAAAGCACAACTCAGTGGGGAGTAAATATGTCAGAAGGCATGGAAGATTAGTCAAGTTTAGGGGGAGGCAGAAAACCAGGGATGGGGTGAACTGTAATGGAGTATCATGGGAAAAGGCACCGCTGTTAACCAGACTCTTAAAAATGCCCTGTGACTGAATTTTGCTGAAGAACTTATTTGTTGATAAAAATTGCAAACATCTGAATGTTTATAAAAGATGGCATTTGTAGACCTACTTTTAATTATCTAATTGTGTCATACTGATCGCTAGTCCAGCAATACTCTGTTCCAGTGGTGGGTTTCAAAACTTTTTACTACCGGTTCTGTGAGCATGGCTTGGTGGGCATGGCTTGGTGGGCATGGCAGGAAAGGATACTGTAAAATCTCCATTCCCTCCCAATCATCTGGGACTTGGGAGGCAGAGAATAGATGGGGCGGGGCCAGTCAGAATTTTTATTATCGGTTCTCCAAACTACTCAAAATTTCCGCTACCGGTTCTCCAGAACTGGTCAGAACCTGCTGAAACCCACCTCTGCTCTGTTCCCTGAACATTGAGGAATTCACATAAATCCCAATTAATTTGTTCAAGTGGCTTTAATTTCTAGAGGGGCACCTACCCTCTGGAATCAGCTGCCCCCAGAGATAAGGAGAATCCAAGACCTTGGTGCCTTCCACCGTGCCCTTAAAATCTTCTTTTTCCAGCAAGCCGGGCTGGCCTAACACTTTTAAAAATGTTTTTAATTGTTTGTTATTGTTTTCAATATATATATATATATATATATATATATATATATATATATATATATATGTTTTAATTTATATATATCTTTTTAATTGTATTTTAATGTTTGTAGTTTATGTTTTTACTTGGCTGTTCACCGCCCTGAGTCCTCAGGGAGAAGGGTGGTATACAAATTTAAAAATAAATAAATAAATAAATAAATAAAATTTCTCTTAGTCATGGCTAATTTTAGCTGAAACATGGCAATCTTTTTTGTTAGATTTTCCTAGAAATCTCTCAAAATATAATTGAGATATAATTGTCTAAAAGCAGATCCTTTCTTTTCCCAGAAAGATTTTTTTTTAAATTTCAGATAGAGTTTCATTATAATTTAGTTATCGATGCTATGATACTCCACCTTGCTATTCCATTTATTGAAGTTATGTGAAACCCTTAGAAATCCTACATGGGATTTGCCGGCTTCCCAGTCCAATTATTACTATTTTTATTTTAAGCATAATTGAATAGATGTTAGCTTGGCTGTGGATTTCCCTTTGTAGGAATGAAGACCAGATTCTAGGCAAGTAATTAGAAGTTCAACTTCAGGATTTCTCATGAAAGAAAATAGGTCCCACATGCAGATTCCATCCCTCAGCCAAAAGTTGGGAAGGCAGAACAGTTGCCTCAAACCCAGGGAAATCATTGTCAGACATTGCTAAAAATACAGTGATAGAGTAATGATTTGGCTTAGTAGAAGGCAATTCTGTAAGTTCTGATGTCTAAAGAAAAGGATCACAGAACTGTTTGTGGTACCAAAGGCAAATATGGGCACAGGGCCTGTCAGCCCTATTAGGAAGACTAGGCCAGAAAAATAACTCCACAGGAGGACCAGAACTACACTTTATGGAGATTGGATACTGTATAATAACAAGATCTTAAAATTCTGATTGTACTATAATGCTTCCTCTCCTTCTTCTACTCTCCCATGAATTAGGGAGGCATTTGCCTGAATCACTTCTGAATGTTATCTTGTTCCCCAGGATCTTAAAAAATGCCCCCCTTTGCCTAGACAAAGTTAAAATAGAATAGAATAACAGAGTTGGAAGGGACCTTGGAGGTCTTCTAGTCCAACCCCCTGCTCAGGCAGGAAACCCTACACCACTTCAGACAAATGGTTATCCAACATCTTCTTAAAAACTTCCAGTGTTAGAGCATTCACAACTTCTGAAGGCAAATTGTTCCACTGATTAATCCTTCTAACTGTCAGGGAAATTTCTCCTTAGTTCTAAGTTGCTTCTCTCCTTGATAAGTTTCCACTCATTGCTTCTTGTCCCACCCTCAGGTGCTTTGGAGAATAGGTTGACTCCCTCTTCTTTGTGGGAGCCCCTGAGATACTGGAACAGTGCTATCATATCTCCCCTAGTCGTTCTTTTCATTAAACTAGACATACCCAGTTCCTGCAACCGTTCTTCGTATGTTTTAGCCTCCAGTCCTTTGTTGCTCTTCTCTGCACTCTTTCTAGAGTCTCAACATCTTTTTTACATCGTGGCGACCAAAGCTGAATGCAATATTCCAAGTGTGGCCTTACCAAGGCATTATAAAGTGGTATTAACATTTCACGTGATCTTGATTCTATCCCTCTGTTTACGCAGCCTAGGATTGTGTTGGCTTTTTTGGCAGCTGCTGCACACTCCTGGCTCATATCTAAATGGTTGTCCACTAGGACTCCAAGATCCCTCTCACAGTTACTACTATTGAGCAAGATACCACATATTCTGTACCTGTGCATTTTGTTTTTCTTGCCTAAATGTAGAACCTTACTTTCTCACCATTGAATTTCATTTTGTTAGATAGTGCCCAATGTTCAAGTCTGTTAAGATTCTTCTGTATCTTCTGGACTGTTGGCTATTCCTGCCAGCTTGGTGTCATCTGCAAATTTGATAAGTTCCCTATCTATCCCCTCGTCCAAGTCATTGATGAAGATGTTGAAGAGTACTGGGCCTAAAACAGATATATTTTTGTCAAAGTCACCACCCTTATTGTCTGTAGTAGCACACCAGACTATAGTCATTGTACTGCAACTATTGCTGCTAGAAAATGCAAAAGCAAGAGCAAAGAGGCATTGCATTTTAAGCAACACCATGTAGCTGCTGGGTTACATTAGAATTGTGTATTGCTAAGTTTTGCAGGCCTCAGGTTATGGCTGGACCTATTATTCTATGAGTTGTAATTTTGAGGAAAGGACTTGTCTTCAAAATAAAACCCTGCTTAGGTCAAGGGTGAATTATATAATGCACTAAATGTGTTATAACAAAGAATAATATCTATACTTCCTATTTTATTTATTTAAGATTTTAGAACTGAGTCTCGTTGAATTAATATGGATTGTATGGTTATTTTTTCAGGGTAAAGAGATGGCCAAACTCTACCCCAAGCCCAAAGACATGGCTGAACTCATATCTTCTCAATCCTGGATCAATGAAGCATTGAGTGCCCAAAATGAAACAAAGGACAAAGACAGCCGGCAAGCCGCCTATGAGATGCTTTCTGGCATTAATGATGAGAATGACAGTGTTGAGGAAGAAGAGGAAGAAGATAATGGGAAGCCCAAGAGAAGGGGGCCAAAGAAGAAGAAAATGACCAAAGCAAGGCTGGAGCGCTTCAGAGCCCGCCGAGTGAAAGCTAATGCTCGGGAACGAACACGGATGCATGGACTTAATGATGCTCTTGATAACTTGAGACGGGTGATGCCCTGCTATTCTAAAACACAGAAACTGTCCAAAATTGAGACACTGAGGCTAGCCAGGAACTATATTTGGGCTTTGTCAGAGGTTCTGGAAAGTGGGCAGACTGCAGAAAGCAAAGATTTTGTGGAGATGCTATGCAAAGGTTTGTCCCAACCGACCAGCAATCTGGTTGCTGGTTGTCTCCAGCTAGGACCACAATCCCTGTTCCTGGAGAAACATGAGGAGAAAGTCCCTGTTTCTGATTCAACTGTGTCCAGTCATGGTTTTTCTTACCAGTCTCCAGGATTGCCCAGTCCGCCCTATGGAAGTATGGAGACACACCTTGTACATTTAAAGCCTCCCTCTTTCAAAACTCTGGTGGATACTTCCTTTAGCAATCATCACCAAAACTGTGCATCTCCAGCATATGAAGGTCCCTTGACACCTCCTCTGAGCATCAGTGGAAATTTTTCCTTAAAGCAGGACGGGTCTCCAGACCTAGAAAAACCATACAGTTTTATGGCTCACTATCCATCTGTTAGCCTGAGCAGTGCTCACGGCCACCCCTCCCACTTTTCAACCACGGTGCCCAAATATGACCTCCCATTAGATGTGAACTATGATTCTTATGCTCACCATGTGGTTGGAGCACAGCTCAGTGCAATATTTGGTGAATAAACAAGGAGATAACAGGCGAATGGTTTTTAAATGGATTTTTAAACTTTTTTTTAAAAAAAAAAATATTGGTAGCATCCAAAATACTGTACCAAATATTGGTACATTTAAAAAAAAGGAATTTTACTTATTCAGACGATGATGGATTTTATTCCCAACTGATTTCATGGGAAGCCCTTTGGAGGAAAAGGAAGCAAAGCATGTCCACCCTTCTGTGAACTTTGACTTATTTTAGTAATTTTAATTTATGGGCTTTTAAGTCTATCGTCTCAATGATTCCTTCTTGCATGACTATTTCATTTGAAAGCAGGTGTAAGAGTCTTATAATACTGGAAATTTTAGAATCAAATTGAACTCACACACAAATCTCCTGACAGTTCTGCAGTAAACAGGGCAGCCAATCATGTTATTGCCAGTGATGTCCTCAGGTCTTCTATTCTATTTGCTAGCAGCACTTCTGCCTTTGATCAGGATTTAATTCCAGCTCCGGTCCCTTTTAGAATTAAAGCAATGTTTTAGATTACCAGTTACATCCTTAGAGCTGAATGGTAAAGAGTGTGACAGTGCCTGAATGTCACCAGGTAACATAAATTTCCTCTTCAGAATTCTGAATGAAGTTCCTCAATGGTTCTATGTAAATACTGAACAGCACAGGGACAATATGGTACCCTATGAGACACTAAAGATTTTTGTTCTGTTCCACCTGTTAGGAATGTTATCCTATGTTACTATTCAAAGATCAGATGCAGCCCTCTGCTTCCTCATCCCTGGATGCACTCTAGGTTTAAGATCCATCAGCTACACAGTTCTACATTTGGGGGGACATCGTTATCCTGTTGAACCACAACACTATGAACCTCTACATTCAATCTCCTGATTATGAAGAATGAAGCCATGATGAAGATGGGGTAGGGTGGGAAGAGGCTTTGTGATTTCTTCCTAAAGGGCTTTGGTGAAAATTGAGAGTGTGTAAAGCATCCCAATCTGAGCACACCAAAAGAATTGATGGCATATTGACTCTTTATGACAGTACATTAATTACTTTCTTTTATACGGGAACAATTTTAGAGACTGGCAACTAGGACTCTCACCAAGGGGATGTCTCTTCTCAGCTGTGCAGTAAAGAAGCATCATCTCACATACTGAAAGCAAGAGATAATGGAGACGTTTCCAGAAGAAATGCTGAACTAATTGTGCCCCAATTCCATGAATGAAATGGGTTGTATGTATGGTATGATGATGGTATATGTAACAATGTGTCCTTGTTAGCACTCAGGACTTCAGAATAATAGCAATAATGGAACTGCTGATGTTCTCCAAACCAGCTTTATCACTCCCAAGATCTACGTAGGGTTCCCCCAAACAGAACTTAACTGCTCCAGTCTTAAATCAAACAAAGTATAGGTCCACTTTTTTCTTCTTTTTAATCTTTTCTGGCTACGCTCCACAGAATGGTTGACTTGCAGTATTTCTCATCCTGCTCATAATATTTTTGAGGATGTGAAGGAAAGCAAATATAAGGATGCACATCTTGAACTGGTGGGGGTCCATTGTGTAGAAACAAATCTGTCTGTCACTGACTGGAGCTGTTTATGTACAACAAATCATAATAATCTAAAACCTGGCTGTGGACACTCAATATATTTTCAGGCATGTCGTTTCTATAGTTATATACAGGGCATAATGTACTGTATGCATATGAATACTGTACACATGCCAGCAACCTCCTGGAATGAGAAAGATCCCATTTCCAGAACCTCATTTAGTTGATAGGGTTAGTTATCTGAATGGCCTCCTGTTTTATGATTATATCGTTGTCCCAATTAAAATTGCCATTATCTTCAGTCCAGAAATTTAAAAATGTAATTTGATTCTGTTTATCCAGTGAATTCCATGTGTTATCAATAATGATAGATTCCATCTTAATTTTAATTAAAAATGAGTGGCAACCCCTTGAGAGTTTCCAAGAAGCTAAATAGCAGGTGGAATCCCCCCTCCTTTTTTTTTTTTTTTTTTTTAGAAATTAGAACATGCAGCAATACTTCTTGCCATGGAAACTAAAACTAAAATAGAGCTGAGCCAAAAGTTCTCAGAAGACTTTATTTTAATGTATTCTGGAAAATTTCTAAAAAATTTCTTAAGAATTCCACCAAGAAGATACTTTTAAAAAGTGTTTTGTTTTGTTTTGTTTTTTGGTCAAATATTCCTGACACTTTGGAAGTGTCAGGCATCATGTTTCACCCATATCTTGTTGGCTAAGGAAGATCTTAGCCAAGATACCGAGGAAGATCCAAAATGAGACCAGATGGCTAATTCAGCCTCCACTGTTCTTGAAGAATTGCCATTACACCTGGAGCAATTCAGTAAAATTCTGTCCCCATTTTGGTTGACAAATAGATTCATTTGTGTACAGCTCTCCCATAAAGGATTGTGCCAGAAGAATAAATAGGGTAGGGAATTGTACAATCAAAGCAATCTATCTTAATCCATATTATTCCTCAGTGTTGTTAACATTACCCAGATCTTTCCCCAATCCTATTACTGGCTCATTCATTAAGTAATAACAATACTGGTGATGTTTCCTTTGTTTTTTTAAATTTAAATGTTACCAAAGTTTTGTATGAACAATGTCTTGTGCTAACTACTTTAGAATTCCAGGTCTATCTAAGACGCAATTGGAGTTTCATTTCCAACATGCTGTGGAAAATATTGTTCTGTTTTCCTTTCTATTAAAACACTCAAGAAATTATCTTCTAGCTTGAAGTGGACATATCGCCCTTCATATAACGCTGAAGTACAATTCTTCATCAGTGTCCATACTGACTACAGCTGCTGGACGTTGAATAATGTCTTAGTGGGTCATAGATTCTTCATCCATGTAAATATATCAGAGCAGGTGCCATATAACTTCACGTGCTATAGCAGTTCCTCATCAGGAAGATTGTCAAAAATTGTGGAAAGGAAAGAAACCTTCAGGTATTGATTTCATGTATTCTTCATCCTAACTTGAAGAACATTCAAGTTGGGACTGATAAAGGCAGCCTCAAATGGGCTGGAAAAGGGAGGAATTATTTTCATCACTGTAATTTAGAACGGTGCCAGCCAAGATAAGCCATGGCTTCTCCCCGCTCCCACCCCCGATTATTTATTATTTATCCAGATTTTAAGTTATTCTTTTTCATTTTGCATAAAATGTGAATGGGGATTTTCACTCATGGGAATTTAAAGTCTTTAGTTGGAAGTTTTAGCATTGTGGGGTTAAAATGTATATGTAAAGGTGGATTTTTCTTGTGTGTTCTTTGTTTTGTGTGCCTTTGCTCCATAATTATTTATTAGCACATATTTATTTAAATTATTCCTTGTCTTTTCCTCTTTTGGGGAGGAGCAACTCCAGTCCATAATTTCATCAAAAAGAAAAAAAAAAAAAACCTAAGTGTATCCCTGTATAGAAGTAGCTCTTTTTGTGACTATTTAGGAAGTGTTCCTACTGGTTACTGTAAAGGCAGAAGTCAGTACAAGCAAGGAACGTTTCTAAGACTATGCAATTATAGCAAGTAATCTTATACTTATTCCTTCATCAGCCTTGAGAGGTGGGGTAAATACCGCACAATAGCAGAAACAGAAATTGGTTGGCTGAACAATGGTTATATCATCACAGATATCTGGTACGCAGGTAGAAAGCTATTATGTTCTCCCGGAAATGTTACATTCACAATTTCAGGAAGAAATGAGGAATGGATATGACTAGGTTGCACCAATGCTGTGTGGTTTCTTGACATGTTCTCAGAACCAGATGACTCTATACCCAAAGGAAGTGATATGCAAAGAACTGGTCTCCATTTCCAATCTTGCCTGCAGAGAACTAGCAGGGCCATGGACAGTTAGAGAAGCAGTAGATCTTTCTTTGCTCTCTCCTGCAAGGGACATACAAGGTTACTCTGCCTATATTTTTTTTTGTTTTTTGATTTCTAAATGATATTTTCTACTCTGTGATAGCCTAAATTTGTAGGCAACCATTGACACAACCCTCCAGCCAGTTATCTATCCCACGCAATGATTGTTCTTTGCCCACTTGTCCAAGATCACATGGTCTCAGCCCATAGTTACGTTAGCTCCTGTCCAGTCCATTCTATAATGAAGAAGAGACCAAACATTGTAGAGGGATGGTATATGAAGAATTTCAAGAATCCAGTTATAACAAAAGAAATCTTCCAAAATAAGGAGGATGGTCAGAGATGGTCGGGTGTAATCCATGGTATGTTTGTGACTTTTGTACTAAATATATATGCATATATATTTTATCCTTTTATATTCAAAATGGCTTTTTAGCCCAAATAAAATCAGTGACTCTTGTTTGAACGAAAGCCTCCTTTTATTAGTGAATGAGTATCAAGATTTAGGAAAGAAGGAAGGGAAGAAGGGAAGGAGGGAGGGAGGGAGGATCTTGTCCCTCAGTATAAGGAACTTTCATCCCAACAAGTTATACCAGACTAAGAAATCTGTCATATTGGTCAAGGCCACTTTTACTGTAACAGCTATATCACACACTTATGGTAAGTTCCTCCAGCCCCTGACAAAGATTAAAACTCAGCAAACTTAACATGTCGCATGAATATAGCCCTGAGTCTTTAACTAACCTTGTTAAGGATGATTTGCAATCCCACCATTACAGTCTCATTTCAGACATAGTGTTAAATGTGTAAACATCAAGGAAGGAAGTGAAACACACTGCTTCAGACCAGTAGCACCTCAATTTCCCAGACTTGCTGCTAATTTTCCCTCCACTCTGTAGGTGATGACCTGGTTGAGCCTAAGGGAGGGGTCAAATGTGTCATAAGTCATGACACCCTGTGAGCCCACAAGAGATCTAAGTCCAGCCCACCTTCAATGCCTTTCTTATCTCCCGCTCATTTCCCTTGACTGCTAGTTGTTCAGATTCTTGTAGAGAACTTAAGCTTGCAATAAACCTCTATACTCATTTGAACTCCTGATTTCCCCGGTGCTTGACAATTCCCCAGTTATGCAAGTTTTCTACCAATCCTCAAAAAGGGAATATTTTTGGAATGCTACTGCAGAGGTTCAAAGAGCAAGGACATTCTCAAAGTCATGGTAGCACGGAATTGCCCAGTAGGTTGTGCAGTGAATAACACAGCTGGGCTCAAGTTGGCTCCCTTCAATCCAACTGAAGCAGAATCTGATATCCTCTTTCCTAAAGGGGCTGCCAGCTCATAGTTGAACTCGGATGCACTGGAAGCTCAGCGCAGCTGCTGGCCCAGCCGGGCCTCTGTTTGCAGCTGTGCAGGGCCTTCTTTTTCCCAGAAGAGGAAATGTTCATCAGCTGCTTGTTTGTGGTGGCTTGGCCTTGCACACGTGGGCATTCACACCATGTGCAGTTGAAAGCACTGATTTAAAATTCCCTTTGGCAGCCCATTAAGACAGAAACAGATGGCTTTGCCACAGTGCTATGGATGGGATGGCGAGCCATGAGGCCTGTGAATGTGGGAAATAACACAGTTTAGAAATACCAGACACATAAAACTGCCTCCCCCCCACCCCACCCCCAAACACAGATATCAAAATAGAAATAGAAATAGAATAACAGAGTTGGAAGGGACTTTGGAGGTCTTTTAGTCCAACCCCCTGCCCAGGCAGGAAACCCTACACCACTTCAGACAAATGGTTATCCAACATCTTCTTAAAAATTTCCAGTGTTGGAGCATTCACAACTTCTGCAAGCAAGTTGTTCCACTGATTAATTGTTCTAACGGTCAGGAAATTTCTCCTTAGTTCTTGGTTGCTTCTCTCCTTGATTAGTTTCCACCTGTTGCTTCTTGTCCTGTCCTCAGGTGCTTTGGAGAATAGTTTGACTCTATATTCTTTGTGGGAACCCCTGAGATATTGGAACACTGCTATCATGTCTCCCCTAGTACTTCTTTTCATTAAACTAGACATACCCAGTTTCTGCAACCGTTCTTCATATGTTTTAGCCTCCAGTCCCCTAATCATCTTGGTTGCCCTTCTCTGCACTCTTTCTAGAGTCTCAACATCTTTTTTACATCATGGCGACCAAAACTGAATGCAATATTCCAAGTGTGGCCTTACCAAGGCATTATAAAGTGGTATAAACACTTCACGTGATCTTGATTCTACCCCTCTGTTTATGCCCAGAACTGTGTTGGCTTTTTTGGCAGCTGCTGCACACTGCTGGCTCATATCTAAATGGTTGTCCACTAGAACTCCAAGATCCCTCTCACAGTTACTACTGTTGAGCAAGATACCACATATACAGTACCTGTGCATTTTGTTTTTCTTCCCTAAATGTAGAACCTTACTTTTTTATAACCAAATAACCAAACTATTTGGCAAGGATTAAATCAGGCTCACAAATGTGTTTGCTAGGACTTCTAAGAAATTGCAAAGACAGTTTCTCTTTTCTTTCACTTCAGGTTGAATTTGTCTGTTTCTTCTGCATTTCAGAAAGTGGATGTCAGATTCTTACAGATGGTAGAGAATTAGCCAGACTTCAGATCATGCTAGTATTAGATGCATTGCCCTGGCAGACAATTCCTTCAGCGTGAAATGCAAAATGCTGGCCATTGTCTGAGCTCCGAAGGCCTTCGTTCAGCATCATTTAACCAGGTGTCTTACTTTTAGATGGTCCCAATTGTACACTTAGAATGATATCTGAAATTTGCACTGGTTCATCTGGTGATATCTTGGCTTGCACTGTACAATTGCTGTGCCTCAATTTGGAAACATGCTATCTTCAGAAATGCAGAGAGACTGTCTTTGAGGAAGATGGGTGTTTTTAAAATACGATAAATAAAAGAAACAGATGGTCAATCTGTGCTGAAAACCTCCAATGATATTTTGCCACTCTTTTAATTGGGGATCCCTGGTTATTTTAATTATTTCACTAGAATGTAAGCATATTTCAAGTATTTCTTTCTCTCTAATGCAGGGGTCAGCAACCTGCGGCTCTGGAGCCACATGTGGCTCTTTCATCCCTCTACTGCAGCTCCCTGTCGCTCAAAATATGCATCACAACTGCCAATGTGTGATACCCTCCGGCAAATGATTTATTGAGCTTTTCGACACCTGATAGGCCAACCATGGATAAATCCAAGAAAAGAAAAGTTTCAGAAGAAAACAGAACATTTAATTCAACTACATATGCTAGTTCTGTGGCTGCTCAGAAAATAGTCAGGCACAGGAAGGGCTTTGTGGCTCCCGGTATTTTCTTTTCTGGGGGAAACGGGTCCAAATGGCTCTTTGAGTGTTTAAGGTTGCCAACCTCTGCCCTAATGCATATGAATCATTCCCTCTAATGCAGGGGTGTCAAGCTCAATTTCACTGAGGGCCACATCAGGGTTGTGTTTGACCATGGGGGGATTGGGGGCATGGCCAGGGTGGCCATCGCTACCTCAATGTCACTTGTGTTGGGGGCATCTGTGGTGGCCTGAGCACTCTGCCAGTGAAAACGGAGCTCACGAGGGCCGAGCACGGCCCTCCCAAACTCCATTTTTGCTGGCAGAGGGTTGCAGGAGGCCATCGCAGCCAAAAATGGAGCTTGGGAGGGCAGCGTGCGGCCCTCCCAAGCTCTGTTTTCGTTGGCAGAGGCACTACAGGCTGGTCCTTCACTGTTTCCAAGGTGGCCCCATGGGCCAGATCTAAGCACCCCACGGACCGGATCAGGCCCACAAGCCTTGAGTTTGACACCCCTGCTGTAATGCATATGCTTTATTCAGGGCAGGTAATATACTAAATGTAAAATTGTTTTATTTCTTTGGCATAAATTTACATAATTTGGAGTCTAGTTTTAAAATGTGGGCAGAGATAGGTTGACTCCAGGAAAAGGAGTGTGAATCCACAATGAAAATTTACACATTATGTTTGGGCTCCTTCCCCCAACATCAACCCAAGGAAAGTAAATCAATTTTTGCTGAAGAAATGAAAAGGTGGTATGATTTGTTGCTGCTTTTTTGGGGGCCATGGATAATAATAGGTATGGAGTGTTAACATATAGCCTAGAAAACAAAAAATATTTTTCCATTCCAAGAAAACAGATACCCCGATAATCCCAAACTCAAATATTGAGAGGGGTCATCTCATCGCCAACAGAACATCTGCTACAGGCCTCAGTTGGTTTCCAGCTCACCTTCCTTGTACAAGAAGATTGCCAATCTCCAGTATATTATGTGATTAAGACTTCTCTTGCTTGTCTTTTTCTTTCTAACCCTAAATTCTGGATGTAGCCCCTCCTCATCCCTAAAACCTAATGTTATTCCAGTGAAATCTCTGAGATTTGCCATATGCCTACTATTGGAAGAAATGTCCATCTGGGTTCAGTTCCAAGTGGGAAGAAAGACACTGGAAACATGGAGACTGCTTGGAAAGATGGTTTAATGGTGGGCAGGACCACATGGTTTGAGGTCCTGAGCAAAAAAGAGCACATGGGTGAGAGAGGAAGAGAGATTTATACCATCTCTTGGGCCCTGCCTTGGAGCTTCCTGTTCCTGTGTAAGAAATGTACTCTGATTGGTTGTCAGACTCCCATGGGGCCATGCAGGGGTAACTTTGCAGGTTGTCTTGAGTCGTAGGCTTGGTTGAATCTTGCTGGATGGTGAAGTAATGAAGGGGCTTTGGGCAATTCCTATTATGGCTTAATGGCTTTGTCCTGGTTTGGATCTTGAGTGAGGGCTAATTCTATCATGTCCTGAGGGCCATGTCTTTTGTTTTGTAGATAAGCTGGCCCAGCCTTTGTCTTGTACATAGGTTGGTACCAAAATATCTGCTGGGGTGGGGGGCAGGGAGCTGAGGCTCTGAGTTTGTCTTTTAGACAATATTATATTCTGCCTTTTTAATATTTCCTAGAATACTTCATTTACCTAGGAGAGGGGTGGCTGCTAACTTTCTACACTACCGTAACTAAGTGCAAAATGTGCTAATCTAGGCCTGATAAATTTGGGAATCCATTGTTCTCGTTTGGAGAGAGAGAGTGTTTGTTATTCCACTATACCTGAGTGCTCCCTTTTATTCACTTCATTTGAAAGTAGAAAGTTATATTCTGGTTGACATCATTGATGAGACTGGAGGCTTCTCACTTTCTAAGATTTAATCATTCTAGGGCAGATGGAAATCAAACAGGTTCAAGCTTATCCCTTCTCCAATCCTGGAAGAGATTTGTCTTCTAGTTAGAAGAAGTTCATAGCCCAGCACACAAGCCTACTTGGACATCTTTTTCCACTATGGCAGAGCAAGATAGGGAAAGGAACTGTGGGATAAGTGCTCCCAGACTGGCAGCTGCCCTGCTCTTTTCCCCCCTGCAGCTATATAATCACTAAACCTTTTAAAATCCT